CTCTCTCTCCTGTTACTGTATCTCCCCCCTTCCTCCCCTTTCCCCTGCAAGCGGTAACTCCACGAATCACGAACCCTCGTATTATTGTACAGTGCAGGCTTTCCTAACTCGATCAAAACAAGCCACTCTCCTCCCCCCCCCCTCCACCAACTAGGCTACATCCCAGGCTTTCGTATTATCTCGTAAGTGAATTCTCTCACAACCGTTTTATGGTCACTATTATTTCCTGTCTTTGTGGCTTTCGGACCGAATTCCGTCACACCTTGAGCTACATCTACTGTTATTTGTTATAGTTGTTGCAATGTGATTACTATGGCTACATTGTTGTTATTGCTGTTTTCTTTGTTCTCGTCCTCACGTTACCTCAACAGGTTATAGTCTAGAAAAGTTAGATTTGAATGCACACCATTATCATAGTACTTAAAAGGTTTTTCCACTTCCTAACGTGATGTTACCACCATTACATCTTGTTTTACTGCCTGGGACAATCGATGGGCTATCTATTGTCGATTGGTGGTAACGTGGTTGCAATGGTGTTTAGAAATCCATAGGTAATATTAATTGTTATGTAAACTAGTCTCATCTCGCTTTCTCTTCGTTGTCCTCCGAATCGCCTCCCCACCCCCTCCTCCTCCATTTCGTCCTCCAACATACCCACCACCACCACCACCTCACATCCACTTTCACCAACCGTCTTCCTCCTCCACCACCTCCTCTTCCTCGTCTTCCTCCCCCTCCTTCTCTTACTATTCTCATTTTCGCCATCGTGTTACATATTAATTAATAATAATGTAGCGGACAAAAATTAGCTGTAGTGGCCTCAAAGTTTAACCTTGTCGGATTGTCTGCGCACATCATCCTCATCATCATCATCATCATCATCATCATTTATTTTTTAAATCTCACTAATTTTTTACAGCAACAGGCAATAACACATTTTACTTTTCCATATTCTTTATGAAGCAGCTGCCAAAGTCGTTCTTTCGTAACGTACACACTGGCAGGTTTACTGTTGCAGTCAGGCGACAATAGTTACGACGTCAACTCCTCCAGCCAAAAACTGAGAGAGAGAGAGAGAGAGAGAGAGAGAGAGAGAGAGAGAGAGAGAGAGAGAGAGAGAGAGAGAGAGAGAGAGAGAGAGAGCGAGAAAGAGGGAGAGAGACAGAGAGAGAGTCTGTATGTGTTTTTATGTGAGTGTGTGAGTGTGTGTTTGTGTGTGAGAGTGGGGGTGTGTGTGAGTGTATGTTTGTGTGTGTATGTGTGTGTGTGTGTGTGTGTGTGTGTGTGTGTGTGTGAGAGAGAGAGAGAGAGGGGGGGAGAGAGACAGAGAGAGAGAGAGTCTGTATGTGTTTTTATGTGAGTGTGTGAATGTGTGTTTGTGTGGGAGAGTGGGGGTATGTGTGAGTGTATGTTTGTGTGTGTGTGTGTGTATGTGTGTGTGTGTGTGTGTGTGTG